CCCCCCCCCCATTCCACCACCGCCCTACTCTGCTTCCTTTAGGGGCTGAGCAACGTGCCCCCCAGGAGCACTGAAGGAAGAGCTGCTTCTCTTCTGGGTCTGCTCTCTCGGCCTTCCCTGGGGGCAGGGCATTTGGTGGACTGCCCTCAAGTGTCAGTGTGGCTAACGCTGGGGATGTGCAAATCCTCACCAGAGGCATTTCGGAGACAGGAAGGTAGAAGATGAAAGGTCAGGAGAGAGAAAGAGCAGGAAATGTATTGAGAACAGAAGAGTAGGGGAGTGAGAGGAAGAAAAGAGAGAAATAAGGAGAGCCGAGGGGAGGAGGGGGTTGGAGAGCGGAGACGCACAGGGTGGTAGAGGGGGAGAGAGAAGGTGGAGAGAGCAGGGTAGCAAAGAAAAGAAGACTTTCCAGAAAAGAGAGGATGTGGCAGCACAGAGGAAAGAGAAGTCCTGAGCCTGGAGGGTGATTTGCAGGAGGACTGTCTCAGGGCAGTTCTAATACAGGCTAATTGGGCTCCTTTTCCCTGGGTGTCTGCTGTAGGCATCTGGCCCTGAGCTACCTTTTCCACACCTTCATGTGAGCCTGTCTCCTTTCCTTGTCATCAGGGCCCAAGCCCGTAATTCTAATATTGGCTTAAATGAGGCAGATTTGGAAAGAATTTGGCTATAAAGTATCAGTTAAAGCAGCCTTTGGTCGTGGAGAACTTTTGGATTCTTGATAAAATTATTCCACTTCCCTATAAATAATCCAGAGCTGGGTGTTGATTTCTTATTCAAATATTCTGCTGGTGGAAGTTGTCAGGGCAAGTGGCTGGTGGCCTGGGCGAGGACATGAAGGAAGGGGTGAGGAGGCTGTATGTGGGCAGGGTTTGCAATGCTTCCTGGCCTCAGGGGCCTGCAGGAGGAGTTCTAGTGTGAGGAGAAAGCCCACATGGGAACTCTGGCCTAGACTGCACTCAGCTGTCTTGGAGCACCAAGGCCAATTCTAAGCCCTCCGGAGGAGGACTGTGGTTGCCGTGGCTCTGGGTCGGACAGGAGGAGGGAGACCCAATTGAACCCCTGCTCTGGAAGCTACTGAAGGGCAAAGTCCTAGCCCAGGTCTTGAGTCAGAGCAGTTGAGTCAGCATTAGTTAGAATGGATGCCTGTAGTCCCTGGAGGGCTCTGGGATGGGCAGGGAGTGGGGTTCTTCGTGGGGACCTGTCTGGAAGCAGGATGGATAAGGTGACCTTAGAGCACACAGGCCACTTCCCCACTCCCTGTGCTTCCTGCTGCCAGGATTGATTTTGTGCAGGGGTGTCAGCAAAGCGGCAGGCCTTGGGCCTGGGAACTGGGGGCCTGGTGGGGCAGGTGTGGGGAGGCAGCGGAGGCAGGGGGCCCTTTAGCTCCTATAACTCTTCTTGGTGGACGATGTCTTGGAGATGATGCGCATGCTGGAGGTGCTGCCGCCCATGTTGCGGCCGCTGGTCGAACTGAAGCCCCCGCTCCCGCTGCCATAGGAGAGGCCGCTGCTGTAGCCGCTCCCGCCTACACAGAGGCCGCCGCCCCCGCTGTAGCCTGTGCCCCCAGAGGAGGAGACCACGGCTGTGGAGAGAAGGCACAGGGCACACTGGCAGTCTCCTCCAGTTTCCCAAAACCCACCCTCTCCGGGCCTGGTGCTCATGGGGCTCCTGTCCATGACACCTTCTCAGGGAACAGGGACCTCTCTCAGTCCCCCAGTGGCCAGGGTCAGAGGCTGGGCATGGACATCCCTGTCCCCATCACACGTTGCCTCAACATGAGCATCTGCACCGGACATTGCACTTTTCAAAGCCCTTCACAGCTGTGACCACACTGGTCTCAATTGGCTCTAGAGGACGCTATTGCTACGAGCACCCCCATTTTACAGAGGAAAAACTGAAGGCACAGAGAGATCAAGTGGCAAGCCCAAGGTCACCCCTGCCAGAAACCAAGGCGCTAGGCTCCCATACTGTGTTTATTCTTCATCTATACCAGAGGCTCTCACTGAGTGAACCTGGAGGCCCCGCATGGTGAGAGGATCACAGGCTCCGTGCTGGAAGAGGCCGGAGGCCATTCAGATGCCCCTCCCCTGGGACTCAAATCCCCTCCACTGTGTCCTGAGGGATAATCATCTAGCTTCTGCTCAAATACCTTCAGTGATGGGGAGCTCACTGTCTCTAGATGCAGCTCCCTGGCCTGTCAAACATTTGAAAACTCCTCTCTGGCCTCCCCCTCAGTGTGTGTTTCTCTAGGGAAACTATTCCTGTTTCTGTTATTAACCTCTTTCAAGCTCTCCCCCATCCCGGCTCTCCAGCTTCTCTAATTCGGTCTGACCCACATGGAACCCAACTAGATTCCACTTCCCATGTCTGGGACTCAGAGTTCCATGAATGCCACCTGCTGGGTCACTGTGTGAGGTGATTCCCCCCATTTCCTTCCCATGAGCTGAGGCCAGTCCTGGTCAGTCACTGCTCTGCTCGTTCGATTAATTTGCTTCAATTCTAAATACATGTCTTTACATTTAACCTGTCTTGTAGCCTCTTGGCAATTATGTGAGTTTGAATCCCTACCGGAACTGAAATCAGGGGTTCAGATGGGGGACCCATTGCTCTTAGAGTAGTCCTGTCTGGTTCCTGGGTTCCCATGGGGCCTGGGGGCAGTCACTCCTGTGGACATATGACCCTACTGGGATGGGCCCCCAGGGTGAGGAGTCATGACCCCACTGGGAGGAAGAGCCGAAGAAGAGAGGAGATGCAGAGTCCCTAAAGGGTCTTAATGACGTTCCTAACTCAGCTTGTTCATTTTCTAGGCATCAAATCCTTGTTAGTGATGCTATTAGCTCCCATTCTGTCTCCCACTTTTCTATCATCCCGAGACGTTTACTCACAGATGTTCACGGGTCCGACACCTTCTCCAGTGAGTCTGTTGCAGGTGGGAGAGAAAGAGACATTTGCTGAGATGTTTAGGAGCCCTGGGTTCTTTGTGTTGAGAGTTATCAGCACAGAGCACTTGCTGTGTGCCAGGCACTGTGCTTAACAAGTTTTCTATTCATCTCATTAGCTTAAGGAAGCTAATGTGAATCTGTCAGGGGGCAGCTAGAGGATAACCCAGTCAAAATATATAGAGAAACGAGGAGAGGGACCCATGCTCACTAGATAGAGAGGGGCAACGGTTAGATTGTAGGCCTCTCTGGGCAACGCAGAGACCCTGAGGTTTGTCCCAAGTGTGGCCTCATTTGTCATAGGGTCTGGGCAGAAATTACCCTGCTTATGGCCTTCCAGGTAGTCATGGGCCACTTTTCTCTGACATCTTTCACCTTGGCCCCTGTCCTGGGTCCGACAGGAGCCATGGGAGGAGTGGTGACTGCAGGAGGCTTCCAGGAAGCAGCTGCATTTTAACCCTGTTTCTACCCCTGGAATTTCTCTCCGGGGCCTGACACTGTGGGGCTCTTGGCCTCTGTGGCCTTGCTTTAGTGCTCTGGAGGAATCTTTTTGAGCCACGGTGGGAGGAAAAGGTAGCCCACCTGCTCTCCTCCCCCTCCAGCAGCTTCCTGTAGGTGGCGATCTCGATGTCCAGGGCCAGCTTGACGTTCATCAGCTCCTGGTACTCGCGCAGCTGCCTGGTCATTTCCTGCTTGGCCTTCTGCAGGGCGTCTTCCAGCTCGGCGAGCTTGTGCTTGGCATCCTTGAGGGCCAGCTCCCCACGCTGCTCGGCATCTGCGATGGCGGCCTGGAGCGCGGCACACTACCGGGAGGGCACAGCAGTTTGTGAAATCCGCAGAGAATGCAGAAAGATGTGGGCTTCAGGTTAAAAATATGGAGGAATTTTTTGAAATGGATTTCATGCAAAGGAGGCTGGAGCTTCCTCATGTTTAAAAATAAGATTAATCTCTGTTCCCCTGGGATAATTTGAGACTTAGCCAGGGTAGAGAAAATGATTTGGGGGGTCCTTTTCAATGCTGAATGTCTCTGAATAGTAGATAAGTAAAGCTGGTGAAAGTTTTGCTTCTGATGCCTCCAGAGGACAGAGCCTTCCCTAGAAGAATTGATGTTGGACAGAATTCAAGAAGAAGGTCCTGACAGCCCCGGGGAGGCAGGAGACCACTCTCCTGGGTGGTCACTCATCTGGGGAGGCGTCACTCTGCATGGGCTGAGTGAGGCCCAGGCCCAGGTCTGCCCAGGGGCAGGGGCATGGATAGGATGACTCTGGGAGCTCAGTTCTACCTGCTTCTTCAGGTTATCGATCTCAGAGCGCAGCCTGTGCATCAGCCGGTTCAGCTCAGAGATCTCCATCTTGGTGGTGCGGAGGTCGTCCCCGTGCCGGCCGGCGGACTGCTGCAGCTCCTCGTACTGGGGAGAAGCAGAAGCAGGAGGCAGGGAGGCTCAGGCCAGGGAAGAGAAGGCAGTGGTTTCCCGGGGCCCAGCAGGCTTTCAGTACGCTGCCTGGAGGCTCCTCCCCTGGCCCCCATCAAATCCACCCCCATCGTCCCTGGGCTCTGCCTCTCACTCTCGGTGTCCACAGGCTCCGCACCACAGTGGGACCTTTCTTCTTGGATTGGGTCTTTTGTCCCTCTTCCTTGACACCAGGTATCTCATTCTCAGCCTGTCACTTTCTGATTTTAAAGCTCTTTCATGTCTGTTTTCCTTGCACCACATCTCATTTCCCCAGTGACTCCCCAGCTCAGAGTGTTTTCTCTAGCCTGGAAAATGTCATTGCGTGACCCATATCCAGCCTTTGTCCCTGCACCTCTCCCCCACCCCGAAGCCCCTCAGCTCCAGAGAGTTCCACCTCTCTCCTCTGGATCCAGGAGGCTCAGCATGCCCCTTGTTCCCACCCTCCCTCTCTCGCTCCTCCTGGCACTGGTGGCTGCTGCTGTCCAGCTGTCCCTCGCCTCTCCTCACAAGGCGTTGGAGGTGTGTCCATCCTCCCTGTGGCAGGACTGGCCACCTCCGGCCTTCATCTAGCTATTCCTCCAGGTCCTGATGGTGCAGCCCAAGGAGTAAACCCCAAGCTTAACTCAGATAGATCCCTTCGACCCCATCAGAATGGGACATCCGAGAGGACAAGGCTCTTATCTAAATTGCCTTTGAAATCCCAGCTCTCTACAATTGTTTCATGAGCTTGACGTTGACACCTCACCTTGGTCTGATACCAGGACTCAGCCTCGGCCCGGCTGCGGTTGGCGATGTCTTCATATTGGGCCTTGACCTCAGCGATAATGCTGTCCAGGTCCAGGTTGCGGTTGTTGTCCATGGACAGGATGACAGAGGTCTCAGAGATCTGGTCCTGAAGCTGAGCCAGCTCCTGTGATGGGGTCCAAGTGGGACAGCTGAAGCAGCATGCATGTGTGTATGTATGTGTGTGCGTGCGTGTGTGTTGGACACTGTGAGCAGGCCCCCGGAACAGATCTTGGCATCAAGGCCTCATTTGCACTGTTGGGGTGTAGCGCCCTGCTAAGGTCTAAAAGGGCTGGGAAGATCACTGGGGAGGTCACTGGGTTTACTTCCATTCTTTCTCATCAACTCATCTGCGTGGAGGGAGCAGCAGCACAGGCAGCTTTAGCTGCTCCGTCACCCCTGCTGTCAGGGGAAGGCGCTTTGTTGTAACCTGTCAGTGCCGTGATGTCTCATTCTGAGAAAAGCACAGCCTTTCACACCAAATAAAGAAATCATCTTGTGAAAGAAAACTGAGTCAGAAGGAGCCAGATGGCTTTGCTGCATCTCAGTCTTGTTTCCCAACGTTGCTTCTCCCAGCCCCTCGGGGATGGGAAATGAAAATTAGCTGAAAACAGCAGAAAGGGCACCAGACTGAAAGATCCAAATGTTGGGTCTGCCAAGCAGGTTAGATAGCATCTCTGTCTGAGAAAGGAGCATTAAGTAAGTTTATGTCCATGTAAGATGGTTTTTGAAACAATAAACCCACAATTAATTATTAATGATCACTCCTCAGGTTCATCTAGAGCATTGGCTTTAAAAATCTGATCCTGAGACCAGGAGCATCACCATCACCTGGGAACTTGGTTGAAATGCAACATTTTGCCCCCCCAGACTCACTGAATCAGATTTGGTGTTTTATTAAGACCCCTAAGAGACTCTGATGCATTGTAAAATTTGAGAATAACTGGTCCTAAACACAAATCTTAGAAACATCCCTTCCTTTCTTTATTAACAGTTGGTTCATGCATTTTCTGCTTCAAGAACTTATTATTTGGTTGTTGTGTGCTGCAATTTGTTTTTCCGAATAGTTTTTTCCTGGTAGCTGATGTAGCTCGAGGCTTTCAACCCATAAGCTTGATGGGCTGTGGGCTGGTTCAGAACGAACACACCCCTTGTCAACATTAAAGTAAATAAGTAGAGAAAATGACGCCTTTTTTTTTGCTTCTTGTGGGCTGTTGGATGGTCACTGAACCCATCCAAAGACACAGAGCTGATGATGTTCCTGCTCCTGGGACAAAATGATCAACTTCTGTTTGGCACCAAACACATGTAACCCCCCTGGCGTATTGCCTGTCCTTGCCAGGCCTACCTGGGGGTGCACAATGTCTCCTGCGCTCTCCCCTCGATGTCACTGATCCCACCTCTCCCATTCTTCCCCTCACTCACTCTACTCCAGCCACCTTGGCCTCTTCCTCACATGCCTGGGTCCTCAGTTCCTTCAGGTTTCTCTTCAAATATTACCCACCATCTGCCTTGCCACTGCTCCTTATTGTCACGTTTTTCATCGACCCTATTGTCTGAAATTGTATCATGTCTGTGCTGTCTGTCTCCCCCACTATAACCAAAGCTCCAAGAACTCAGTGTCTTGATTGTGTTTGCCCCCCAAAACAGTGTCTGACTCTTAACAAAATATGTCTTCAGGAGAACCAGGCAATTGTGTTGTGTTCTAGAAGCATCCGAAGGCTCACTAACCATCACTTGATTTGCATAATTGCATCATCCTGCCGCCAAGAAGAACAGGTAAATTTAAGCTGAAATGGGCGAGCCCGGTTTCTCAGATAGTTCTATGGAAAGCATGAATAATTCAATGACAGGCAGTTATTTTGTTTGACCTACAGAACATGCTTGATCCAGGTGGTCACGGTTAAATTTCTCCCCTCACCTGACCTACCAGCTACCTGATGGAACCTTATTTTCTCCCTGGGTAGGGAAAGCAGCATCTGCTCCATGAATTCCAACTCAGGGGTGGGGTGAGGAGGAGAGAAGAGATCAGAACAGGAACTGGTAGCCTCTGTGACCAGCCGAGACCACCCAGCCTCCAGCCCCTCTGAGGGGGACCAATGGGCACTGCTTACCGCATCATAGAAAGCTCTCAGGAAGTTGATCTCATCCATTAAGGCATCCACTTTGGCCTCTAGCTCCACCTTGTTCATGTAGGCAGCATCCACGTCCTGGGCACAGAACAGGCCATCACTCTGAGTCCTACCCGCTCGGGGTTAACCAGTTCCCAGCTCCTCTGTTGGGAGAACTTCAGCTCCCCGGAATGAGAGCAGTTCTTTATTGCAGGTCATGGAGTGGGACTGGCAGGGGGGTTGGTCCAAACTGTGTGAGGACCAGGGCACTAGCTCATCAGCTAGTACCACATGGAAAGATTTCCTATGTCACCTGCACCGGTCCCCAACTCTGCTTTGATGTCCTGGAGACTCAGCTCAGTGTAAGGCCCATCTCACTTCACTTCTCCCTGCACTGGATGCCATGCGGGGAGGGGGATAGTGTTGTGATTTGTGGCTTGGACTTTGAAGTCCTGGATCCTGACCCACTTCTGAATATCTGGGTAACCTGGGCAACTTGCTTAACTTCCCTGAGCCTGAGTTTTCTCACTTCTAAAGTAAAACCTGTTTCCAAGATTGGTTGCGCAAATTAAATAAAACCTTGTATGCAAGACCACTGGTTTAAGTTGTAGCTGTCACACTTGGAAGGGGCTGCCTGGGAGTCAGAAGGGAGCACCCCTGTCCCCTCACCTTCTTGAGCACCACAAACTCATTCTCCGCTACTGTGCGCTTGTTGATTTCATCTTCATACCTGTGGAAGGATCAGGCATGGACTGATATTAGGAGCGGTGGCCTGGGAGTAAGGTTAAACGGTGGGGCTGCGGGTGGGCAGGAGATGGCAGGGCTGCAGAGCAGACTTCGAAAATGTGCTGCTATAGCAGAGCTCTCCTGCTACACACGTGCTACAAATCCCATATCAGCCGGCACCCACCTACCCCTGTCCACACAAAGCCCAAACCCCAAATAACAACAAACAGAACCAGCCCTCATTCTTCTGAGCGTGCTTTTCACACAGCTTTGCTCCTTAGAGTGCTTAGGTCCCATCAAGGGCTGTGCATGCTTCCTGTTATAACCCATGGCCTTGTCCCAATGCAAACAGAGGCCAGGAGGGGAGGAACAGAGAGAACAGCAGGAGGAGGGCAGTCTTGGGCCTCAGTGGCTTCCGCACCCATCTGTGCCTTCATACCTCTCTGCTGTGTTCTCAGTCACGTTGACCCTGGCCTAGGACATAGCCTTCAGGTGAAAGGAGCCACCCACCCCCTCCAGATTCCTCATTCCTCAATCTTCCCCCAGCCGGCACTCCCCTCCTCCTCACTCACTGATCCCTGCTGTCACGACTCATGCCCATCCTGCCCAACCTTTCTAAGTAGCAGGGGGTCCCACCCTTTCCGCGGCTCTTAAGGCTGTGGCTGGGGCTTTGTCTCCTCCACCTTCCAGCCGAGTAACCCCCGCCCAGTAACTTAACCTCTCATATACGCCCTTCCCAACTATGAAATGGCATGTCATTATTCTTTTAAAACCAAAAAGCGCTGTCCCACATGATATTTAACCAGCTCTCCCCTGCTTTTGCATTGCCTCAGTTGTCTGAGACAAGCTCTTTCCTGCCAGTCGATTTGGTTTTTCTTATTGTTTCTTCTCATTGCTTTCCACTAATTAGGAACATCTGTTCTTCACTTATTCCATGCAACTGTCCTCCTGTCCTGTTTCCCGGGTCACAGGCCCTCTGCCAGAGGGCCTCTTAGACACCTGCCACAGAAACATTGCCATCCATTCACTAGGAGCAGATGCTTCAACCCTTGCCCCTATATCTCTCCTCTGTGCCTCTTTCCTTCTCAGCATTAAGTTTTCATGTCCTCCTCCAGGAAGCCTTCTTGGACTAAAACACTGCTACTTCTCGTTTGCATACATATTATAAATTATCCATCTGCACTTGCTTTTCTTGTCACTACCCACATATACCTAACATTGATACAATAAAAATAGCTAACACTTATTAACAATTTATTATGCCAGGCAGTGGACATCCTACCAAGTTGTTTACATGCAAGTTTTGTTGTATTATTCTCAACCCTTCTATAAGGTGGGTGTTATTAATATCCTCTTTAACAGACAAAAGAACTGAGGCTTACAGAAGTTAGTTTTCTTTAGTTCTTTTAGCTAGTAAGTGGCTGAGCTAAGATTCTAAAGCCACTGAGAGATTCTATACTGCTGTCAATAGAACTTTCTGTGATCATGGAAATGTTCTATATCTGCACTCATTAGCCTCGTGTGGATTGAGCACCAGACATGTGGCTAGTGAGATCAAGGAGCTGAATTTTAAATTTTATTCAATTTTAATTATTTTAAATTTAATAGGCACGTGTGGCTAGTGGCTACCATGTTAGAACTCTAAAGCCTTAACTCCTACTTTATCACACAAACAGTAACTAAAACTCTTAATTGAGTAACATATTTTGTTTGGACCAATACAATTAGAAATAAATTAGGGCAATAAAAATAAGAAATTACTCATGTCTCTAAGCAGGAGCATACTATTATGTTTCACGGTGTGTGTGTGTGTGTGTGTGTGTGTGTGGTTCCAGGAGAAGGCAGCATATATGGGTCCATTTCCTCTGTTCCCTGCCCCTTGGCCAGGGTTGGGGTAAATGCATGGACATTGTGTAAGTTAGCACTGGGACTGAGTTGAACAAATGTGAAGGTGAGAGTCTATGGGTTTAATTTTTAACTCACAAGTTGCCACTTGTATAAACTTGGATGAGTCAGTTGCTCTCTTAGAGCCTTACTTCTCTCTCTGTAGAATGTATCCGGTTGTTGTGTGTATCATGCTCTCTGTGGCCATGTTAGTTATAGTCCTGTATAACCCCAGTCCCTCCCCCAAACCCCAACATTCTTGACCCAGGGTCCCAGTTCATTTTCTGAGACTACCCCAGTGCCCTACGTGTGTGTCCCTTTTCCCCCTGAACTGGGCTTTCAGGAGGAGCCGGCTGTGTCCACTCACTTGTTCTTGAAGTCCTCCACCACGTCCTGCATGTTCTTCAGCTCCGTCTCCAGCCTCGCCCGCTCCCCGCCCAGGCTGTCCAGCTGCCGCCTCAGGTTGTTGATGTAGGCTTCAAACATGGGCTCGATGTTGGCCCTGGTGGTTTTATGCTCCTGCAGGAGGCTCCATTTGGTCTCTAGGACCTTGTTCTGCTGCTCCAGGAACCGCACCTGCCCCAGCCAGAGGTGAGAGACTGTGAGGGCTTCCTTGCAGCAGCCTCCCAGAGAGCTCTGGGATCCAGGATCCCCCAACAGTGCAGGAAGGGGGCCTGCAGGACTTCAGAGTCCAGGTGACAGGCTCCTCCTCCTCAGCCTCAGCCTAGAAGGAGCCTGGAAAGTAGAGAGCCAAGCAAATGTAGGTGCAATGGGCCTGGGAGACAGGCAGTGGCTTGGTTTGGAGGTGGGAGAAGCAAGGAGGGCCAGAGGGGCTGGATAATCTCTAACCGCACCAAACCGCATCATGTGTGGTAGCTGAAGACAAGAACACTTGGCCATCACATTACTGGGTGAAATTTTGATTTCCAGTAAATAGACAGAAAGTTCTTCGCAGAAATTCAACATGTCTATTTTCTTTCCAACATGATTTCTCATTACCTAGAATCTGGACTCAGTTGCCCACACACTCCAGGAATGCTGGAGTGGGTCACTTTGGAGTCACATTGAGGGGATCTGGGAACAATCCCAGCTTGGCCCCTCTAATTGTGTGACCTTGGAAAGCCCCTACCTCTCTCTGCTCTCTCAGGTCCTCTGTGGTCTTGTGCTACAAATCTGGTTTTCTTGAATTGTACTCATCTGCCCCCTCAGCCTGGAAAAATATGCAGAACTTTTCACCCCAAGCAAAGTCCTTCTGTTGGGAGTAGCTGGAATAATGCACAACCTCAGAGAATGAAGGAACAGAGCCTCCAGGACTCTGGAGATGGCAGCGGACCTGCAGGGGCTCTTTGATAAATGCACACACCCCACCAGCTTTCTCTTCCATTGCAGAAGAAGGAGGGCAGTCCTGGCTCCAAGTCCTCCCTAGTTACAACCCTTTGCTCCCCATGTGCCCTCCAGATGAACTTTAAAAAGCAGGGCCCATGTTCTTTCCCTCAGATCCAGGCTTCTGGAAAGCTCACAACTATTAATGCAAGCACCAGGCCTAGTGGGGTGACATGGGTGATAAAGTTGAGAACCACTGTCTCCTTTGCTAGGTTTTATACATTTAAAGATCTGGGTCCATATGAGGAGGCATTTCATAAACTGTTAGACCTGTGAAGGCACCTAGAGTCCATCTGTCCAACCCCACCAAGGCCCAAGAAATTAGGGATTCTCCTAGCAGTAGAGCCAAAAACAAGACGTGGGCTGGTTGCCTCTTAGCTTAGCACTCTTTCTCCTAGATCTGAGGTGCAGAGTCTGCATGATCCAGATCCTTGAGTTGGTTCTTCCCAGGCAAAACCAACCAGCTCGGGTGAGCCAGTGGTGATGCAAAATAGAATACCAAATAGAATTATTTCTTTCCCCAAACTGGGGAAGTCCCTAAGATTCCAGGCCACACAGCAAGGAAGACCCAGGGCTGCAGTCACAGCTTTCCTCTCTCCAAAAGAAAAGAGTGAAACACTGAACAGCCCCTGGCCAACCACCCAGCTTCCCAGACACACCCAAATCACTAAGAAGGTGCCACAGGAGGACTTGCCCCTAGTAAGGGTCAGGAAAATGTGACCTCGGCCCACTTCTGTGGTCTGAACTTGTATCCTTTCTTTCCTTTGCCCCTTTCCCTCCAAACCAATCCTCTTTCACTGCCTGATTTTATGCCCAGCATATGATCACTGTCCATCAAAAGAACAATGTCCTTGCAATGGGTCAGAAAGTTCTAGAGACCGGAGGTGGACATTTTTTGCTCCCACCTCAACAAAGTGGGAAACCACCTGTCTTCTACCCTGTCAGCAGTATTCACACTCCCCAGGATCACAGGTCGTGGGGAAGTCACAGTTGACCTCAGAAAGGCATAAAGAGCAGAGATATCTGGAGGGGACCCCACCTGCCTCTCACCTTGTCGATGAAAGAGGCGAACTTGTTGTTGAGAGTCTTGATCTGCTCTTTCTCCTCCTTCCGCACCCGCTGGAGGGAGGGATCGATCTCCAGGTGGAGGGGGGTCAGGAGGCTCTGGTTGACAGTGACCTCATGGATACCCCCAGAGCCAGGCATTATCCCTCCTACCCTGTACCCTATGCCGCCAAGGCCCATCCCATAGCCAGCGCCGCCGAAGCTGCCCCGGCTGGAGCGGTAGCCCCCACTGACAGAGATTCTCTTGCTGCCCCCAAGGCCATGGAGGCTCCTGGTCCCGAAGCCGCCCCCAAAGCCACCCCCGAATCTCTTCCCGCCCTGGGTCACGGAGACCGAGCTGAAGCTGGACCGGGAGCCTGGGAGGAGGTTCGCTGAGGAAGCGCTGAAGTTCCGAGTGCCTCCTGACTTGATGGTGATAGAGGATCGTTGGGTCATGGTGGGAGCTGGTGCCAGAGGGTCAGAGGAGCAAAAATATCAAAAGGATGTGGAGCCTTCAGAGTCTAACTCTCCCAAAGGCTCTCTGACTTTTATCCCTTTCAAGAACTGGGCTTGGCCGGAGAAGATCAAAGACCACTTTGTTGAGTTCATCTCAATGGCATGTCTGGCCGCTGCCCATCTTCCTGCCCCGCTAATCATCGCGAGGAACACTCCACCTAGGGCAGGACCGGGCCTGGGCATTCGAGCCCGGGGCAGGCCTGGGTCCCAGCCCTCCCCTCCCCCAGGTTCCCTGCCACATGCCCCAGACACTTCCACTGCGTCTCATCTGCCCCTCTCTTCTTGATTTCCAGGTCTTAGCCTCTGAACCCAAGCATTCCTGTCATGGACATTTATAAGAAACACCATTTATTGAGGCTTCAATCTGTGCAAGAACACGTGGCAGGTCAGTTGCAAGCGTGATGTCATCTGAAGAACCAAATGACACCTCCGTGAGGGTGGATAGCAACAAAAACGGCTAACATTTACCGAGCAGCCGCTATGGATAGCTGTTTATACCTGTCTTCTTGTTTAATCCTTACATGGCACCATGTGGCGGCTATCACTGCTCCTGTTTTGTACATGAAGCAGCTGAGGCCTGGAGTACTTAAGAGACTCGGCAGACCTGGCAGACCTCACGTAGCCAGTGACTGCTGTGCGCATACCGGGCCCAGTGGTCTGACTGCACCTCATAGTGACGAAGAGAGGTGGCTTGTCAAAGAGAAGCAGACTCAGGATTTCGCTCCAAATTCCTGTCCCCTCTACTCCTCTTGTCCCAGGTCTTAACTTGCTCCTCCCCGCTCCGTCAGGGATATTTAACAATTGTTCTCAGTGTCATTTCTCTCCTTCTTGCCATCTTCTTCCTTTCAACCCTTCCAAATTTTCCCTGATGAGAGGGGTCAGGGAGGCTGTAAACTCAGGAATGTGGGAGCTGTCTGATGTCTCATTGCTGCAATTATGGGACTAAAGTGTATCCTGTGCTTTGTGAAAGCACTGCCCCGGGGCTGACTTTTAACTCCCCTACTGCCCTGTTATTTCTCTACTCAGGTCTGCAAGTTAGAAGCTGTCAGGGAACAATGGCCCCTTTGCTGGCAGAGGGCTGGGCCACTCGCCCTGCGTCAGTGTCCTGGAGGAACAGTCTGGCTTTCTGAGGGGGTGGCATTGCCCTGCATGACATACGTAGTGGGGAGGCTGGGCAGGGCTTCTGCTCAGGGGCTTGAGCTTCTCAAAGAAGGCATCCCAATGAAGGGTAGAAGGCATCCCAATGAAGGGAAGTGGGCAGAAGCTTGGGTGCAGAGTCTGCCCTCCTGTCCCTCCCATCTCTCCCCAGTTCAGCTTAGCTCTGGGGGGAAGTGGGGAAGGGAGGTCTGGTGTGCTCTGAGCACTCCTTGTGTGGGGCCTTGTGCAGGGAGGAGGCCTAGAGGAGCAGGAGGAGGAGAATTGCTCTGTGCTCCGTCACCATTCCAGAGGGCTGGACACCAAACACATTACACATACATTTAATTGACACATTCCAGGGAGGGGAGAGAGGGAGCTCTCACTCCCAGCAGGCAGCTTATAAGCACCGTGAGACAGGGGGCCTGACAACCTGGCATTAAGATGGCCTGGGAGACACAGACTCCCCATTTCTGCATCTGGAGGGAGGGAGGGAGGAAGGTGGAGCTGAAGGGGAGTCCCTGCAAGACAAGCCGAATGTGAATCTTGAAAATCTCTGCTTGGACACAGAGAGGGCTCCAGGAGCAGTCTGGGGACCGTCGGGAGGGCAGAGGCTGGCTCAGGTTGGAGACAGGTTTAGCCAGGATGCCAGGCTTCCTAGCAGCACAGGTGGGCCTTGTGAAGGGAAGAAGGAGAAGGACCCAGGTGCCCAGGGGCGGGTGCACGCAGGCTAGGTCAGTGGGCAAAACTGGTTTCAGGACAGGGGTGAGGGAGCGGGGAGGGGGGCTCTGCACTTAGTGTTTATAGTTCTTTCGGCTGGAGGACGTGGTGGAGACAAACTTGACGGTGGAGCCATTGCCTCCGAGGCCTCGGCTGCTACTGGCACTGAAGCCGGAGCCTCCCAGGCCTGTCCCCAAGCTGTGCCCACCACTGGTGGTGAAGGAGTAGCCGCTGCCCCCACCGAGACCCAAGCTTCCACCTCCGATGCCGCCGCTGCCGTAGCCACTGGAAACAGTGGAGGTGACCACAGCTGCCGGAAGAGAGGGGACGTGGTCAGAATCAAGGGCAGGAGAGAAGACACCTGGGGTGTCCGTTAGCCTCCTACTGACTTTCCCACCTGTGTGGTGAGGCTGCTGTCCTATGCTCAGCCTGGCTCTCCCGGCCTGGAATGGCTCCACTACTCCTTGCCTCTCTCTTCCTTCCAGATCTTACTGGCGAATTCTCTCCTCTGGGAAGCTACTCCAGTCCACCTGCCTTCCCCTTGATCCTGCCATACTTTCACGCTGCTCTGTCCCCATCGTCCTCTGCGGGTCTGGCTCTGGTGTCTCCCTTCCTTCTAGAAGCTCATAGCGGGGCACGTATGTGCTTTACCCCAGCCTCCGTGGTCTGAATCCCAGAGGAAGCTGGGACATTCTTGATAGACCAAGTGACAGATGACCCATTTTGAGAAGGTATGAGGTTTCTAATTCATTAAAAAAAGAGCCATATTAGGAGAGAATCTTCAATGTCATAATACCTCATTGCGAGTTAGAGAGTGCCAGCCAACTTGGTGCCTGTTCTCTCCCCAACCTGCTCTTTTCTTAACCACCACCACCTTAAACATCTAGTTTCTTCCTTTGGGTTCTTGAGAAGGAAAATTGAAATAAAAAATAGACTCTGTTATTGGATAAATTGTGTCCTTCAAAAAAATATGTTGAAGTCATAACCCCCAGTATCTGTGAATGAGACCTTATTTGGAATAAGACCTTGCAGATATAATCAAGTTAAGAGGAATATCATTAGCCTGAACTCTAATCCAATATGATTAGTGTCCTTATAAGAAGAGGGAAGATGTCCCTCTTCCTCCTTCCGTTATGCGAAGACAGACACACAAGGAAATAGCCATTTGATCACAGAGACAGAGATTGGAGTGATGAGCCAAGGATTGACAGCAACCACCAGGAGCTAGACGAGGCAAGGGGGAATCTCCCCTATAGGTTTCAGAGGGAGCACAGTCCTGCCGGCACCTCGGTTTGGAATTTCTAGCCTGCAGAACTGTGAGACAATAAACTTCTGTTGTTTTAAGCCACCCAGTTTGCAAACTTTGTTGTAGCAATCCTCGGAAACCAATACAGATTTTTAGGTGCTTTCAAGAGAAAGCTTTGAAGATCTCTGGAGACACTATACAAAGACATCAAGGAAGGACACCTGGGTCGTTCAAAGAGCTCTGCCTTCTAGAACCATCAGCTAATATAATCAGTTGTTTTTGTGAATCCCACATCAAGAAAACAAAACTCACTTGCAGAGTGTAAGTTGTAGAAGTCATTTCTGTTGGCCTCAAGATGCCAGCACTGAGCTCTGACCTGCGCGGGGCTGGGCCAACTTGCCAAGGCCTCTCTTATTTCTCAGCAGCTGCACCCACCTGCTATGTCTTGTGGTGCTCTCACTGCCCTGAAAACCCTTGGTAACTCTCTGCACCTATAATCTACAGAGTTCAGACAAGCAGTGGGCCCTCTTCCCAAGTCGTCCTGGGAAGGGGCTATCTAGATGGCAATGCCCTTGTGCTCAGCACTAAGACTCCCTCTGAAAGCTGAGGGCAATCAGGAGTTTTCATAAATTCTGTTTACATCAAACACTCATCTCTGAGCTAGATTTGCAGCCCCAGCTGGAACAATGTGAGGTCCTGGGAGATGGGCGGTGTGCCATGGGGCTTCTAAACCAAGGCAGAAGGAGTACATTGCCCCCTCTGTGGCACTCTCTCACTTGCAAAGAGCTAAGTATTGTGACATTGAAGACTCTCTCTTAATATGCCTCTGTTTAATGAATCCAAAACCTCAAACCTTCTCAAAATGAGCCTTTTTGGTGGGATCTCCTCTAACGCCTCATGCACACCCACCACCTCCCCATCCCCCAATCACACACACTCCAAATGATGCATGTGATGTCATACTCACAGATGTTAACTGGAGAAACACCCTCTCCACTCAGCCTGATTGGAAGGAGGAGGGAGAAGGAGGTTACTATTGTGTCCAGAAGCTTGTGGGCATTTGAAATGACATTTTTGTAATTGTTTTAAATGCATTAAAAAACCCTTTATTATTTTTATTGCAGAAATAGTGGAGGTTGAAATTACTTAAATATGAGTAGTATTAAAAATAATAATTTAATGAATGAAATAATGTGGAGTTTAAGGTTCATAGGAATAAATCCTGTAATCCCAGAAACCCATTTTTGGTTTAAACCAGGTAGACACCTTATGAAAATTAAATCTAATCATACACTGGTATCCATTGAAAAGGTAGAACTTGTCATAGAACAAGAAGAATTCTCTCTCAACAGTGGGCTATTGTTGTGCACTGGGCAGTGCTGAGGTTATTATAGGTGTGGAGAGGAGTCTGAGTCATAAACATAACACTAGCAATAATCAGTCTATTATCGTGGTAGCAACTAGAGTAATTTTGTTTTAGCATCTTGAGGACAAAACTGTCATTCATTTATAAATACATACTTAGAACATTAAAAGAGCTAACAATTATTGGGTACCTGTTACCTACATTCTGTCACTCAATTCTCTCAACAACTCCATTAAGTAGGTATTATTATCTCAGTTTTACAGATGGAGAAGTTGAAGCTCAGAGAGGTTAATTTAATTTTCCCATGGCCACAAAGCTAGATTTGAAGCCAGATTCATTTGTCACCCAAGCCCACGTCTTTGGCCACTAAATTGAAAGATAACTATCATTTAATGAACACTTTGTATACCATGCATTGTTTTAAGAGCTTCATGTATGGTCCCTATATTAATTCTCTTAAAAACACATGAGCTAGAAACTGTGAGTATCCCCATTTTACAGGCAAGGACACTGAAGAATGAAGAGGTTAAGTAATTTGCTCGGGGTCATACAGCTGGTAATTGGCAGAGCGCAAAGCTCCCACTGATCCAGGTCATGTGGCCTGGTCTGTTCTATCATTGAAGAAACTGGGGGCCAGAGAGGGGATATTGAGCTGCGTAAGGTTACACAACCTGTTAGTGGCAGGCATGTAATCCTAAATCCTATGATACTTTATTCTCGGTCCAGAGCCTTTCATACCACATATCCAGCCCTGCATGTAACCAGGTTTCTCCTTTGACAGAACTTGATTACTTAGACCTGATCAGGTCCTAGATTTCTATGGGGTACTATAAGTAGTTATAACTCAAACATGGGACTCTGATAAATGGTTCACTAACCTGGAAAAAAATTGCACCTGTATTCTTTGTCATAACCCAAGTCCACTTGCATTTTGCTCTCTTTTCTAGGTGAGGAGGAGACTGCAGCAACCTGAGCCCCTAGGAATGGCCAGGCAGCTGGGATGGAGTTTCTGTCTCTGCCCTCACCTGCACTCCTCGCCCTCCAGCAGCTTGCGGTAGGTGGCGATCTCCACGTCCAGGGCCAGCTTGACGTTCATCAGCTCCTGATACTCCCGGAGCAGCCGGGCCATGTCCTGCTTGGCCTTCTGCAGGGCCTCCTCCAGGTCCACCAGCTTGGCTCGTGCATCCTTGAGGGCCAGTTCTCCGCGCTGTTCTGCGTCAGCGATGGCCGTTTGCAGGCTGGAACACTGTGAGGAAAGGAAGAAGATGTGAGCCTTACTGGTGGCCCCTGGATGCGTGTTGCTTCTTGGTTGGAGTCCTGTGCCATGGCAGAAAGACCCATAAGAAATGAGTGCGCAGGGAGGTCTCGGCCCTGCCAAAACTTCACCTGCTTCTTCACGTTGTCAATCTCAGCTCTCAGCCTCTGGATCATCCGGTTCATCTCAGAGATCTCTTGTTTGGTGTTTCGAAGATCATCGCCGTGTCTGCCCGCCGTGACCTGCAGCTCCTCATACTGAAGGAACCAGAGCAGAGTCAGTCATCTCGTCAAACACCTGGCTGGGCACTCCCTGTGTGCACAGCCTGGCCCTCAGAGCCACAGCAGGCCCATCCAGTCACTGATCATTCACACATTCCCTCGCTCATTTATCCAGGTGGTATTTCTTGAGCACATCTACTTGATGGGCACATTTGAGGCTCTGGGAATATCATGAAGAACATAGACCCTTGCTTACATTTTATTGGGGGAGATAGATATTAATCAAATCAGGATATTATTGAATATATAGTCCCAAACTGAGATAATTAGGAAATTAACAGAGTCTTACAAGAGTGCAATAAAGGAATCTGACCTAGATATGGTAGGGGGGTGATGATAAGGAAAGTCTTTCCAGAGATGATGATGCTTGAGCTCTGCTCTGAAGGATGGGAGGGAGAGAGCTAAGTAACTGGCTTGGGAGAGTCCATTCCAGACAAGGGAAACATGGGGCTGGAAGAAGTGTGGTGAGCTCTAGGAATGAGAGGGGATTTGGTCACTGTCCTTGGGGAGTTCCTGGTCACAGAACCTACATCCAGATCGTGATCATAAATTTTGGTAGACCTCCAGACACCAATGCTGGGGAAACAGGGATGACATGCAACGAAATGTGTTGGACAGAGCTGAGGCTGTAGCGGGCCCAGTTCTGAAGGCTTTGTAACAGAATCTTCCATCTTGGGTAGCCCTCCATCTCATCTATTTTTTTTTTTAAATATATCTTTATTGATTTCAGAGAGAGGAAGGGAGAGGGAGAGAGAGAGATAGAAACATCAATGATGAGAGAACCATTGATCGGCTGCAGCCCACAACCCGGGCATGTGCCCTGACCGGGAATCGAACCCTGATCGCCTGGATCCTAGGTCGATGCTCAACCGCTGAGCCACGCCCAGCTGGGCCCTCCATCTCATCTAGGTACACACCCAGGACACATTCATTTAGGAGAAATAAATACACCCTCTCTCCTCCAGCAGACTGGAGTAAAACCCATACCTTTCCCAACAAAAGAAGGGCCCCTGCCAGAGCGAATGTCTATAAATGCTGAATAGCTCAGCTCCTCTGTTTCCAGATACTCACAATTAAAGGGAACAACAGCTTTGCCAACAAAAGAAATCATTTGCTATAAATTTCAACCACTCCACTTGCAGGTTAAGTGTATTTCACCTCCACTCACCATCAAGGGGCTGCCTCTGCACTGCGCACCCTTGTCAGCTGACACCCTGAAGTGGTAGGAGCTAAGGCATGAGTGCACAGAGCAGGGCAGGGGATAGCAGCCAGCTTGTGGGTGAGCAGCTGCCCCTGAAAAGCATCTGAATTTGGCAGGGAGCTCATCTCATCAGTTGGGCTTTCCTGCCTACTATACCCTTCCAAAGCCAGGCCTTCTTCTGGCCATCTGTACTTCTGGACAGTAGCTCTCTCTGGTTGTTCCAACCTCCCTCTTCCACATACAAACCCTCTTGCTCAGCAAAGTGCTAATTTCCACCTTCCAGCCCCACAGAACTGCTTGCTCAGCTCTGAACACCTCCCCCTCCTTGGCACTATTTTGTCCCTCGCTGCTTCCAAAGTGGACTGAAAACACACCTCTTCTTGAAAACTTTTTGTTAATGTTATCTTTTTCCCTTCCAAGATTGTCCATTCACTTCATGGCCTCCCAGACCTTGGGTTCTGTTTGGAGTCTATTTATTTACAACTCTGTGCCTTGCTTGGCATATAGTAGGAGCTCTGTAAACATGTACTGAATAAATAAGCCCTTTAGAAACATCTTTGTGACTGTTTCTTATATGTTTCGAAGTCTCACCCAGCCCCCAACCAGATCATAAGTGATATGAGACAGTGACCGTCCTGAGCACCCAACGTCACCTGACCTTATAATAGTGTGTGTGGTTGGGTTTCCATAGGCATTTCAAGCTAAGTTTTCGTAATATCAAAGCTGCTTCTGCCAAGCTGAAAGAGATGGGAATTCTCACATACTTCCGGGAGCTTGTGGCTAACAGTTAAATGATAATTTGGGGCTTCAGAAAACACTAGCCTTGGACCGTATCATGGAGGTGCCCACGCTCACCTTGGTCTGGTACCAAGACTCGGCCTCAGCCCGGCTGCGGTTGGCAATGTCTTCGTACTGTGCTTTGACCTCGGCGATGATGCTGTCTAGGTCCAGGCTGCGGTTGTTGTCCATGGACAGCACCACGGACGTGTCGCTGACCTGGGTCTGCATCTGGGACAGCTCCTACAGAACCAGTAACTCAGTGTCATCAAGGTATGAAAAGGAGGGATCTTGAAATCATGTGATTGACCACCCATGTAGGTCAGGAAGCCCACCTTTGGCATTCCTGGCAGGAGTCTTCTGCTCTTTCCTGGGCACTCCCAGCATTTATGGGGTCCCATGCCAATAAAAGGTTTCTTTAGGATCAGATGATTTTTAGGACCCTCTGCACAGTACGCCTTTATCCCTCCCTGCTTCTCTCTCTTCCCCACTGGCCCAGGTCTCTGCTTTCCAAGTGGCAGTGCCCAGAATGAAGCTTCCTCAGAGGGCAAAAAGCTGCCCCCTAAGCTGAGGCACAGCTTGCCTTTCTGAACTTTTCTGGGAGGGGGATGGAGAGGTGGGCCTTGATCCCCTGGGAATGTTACTCAGTGACCTGGGATTCAGGAATCAGCCCTCCTTTCTTGATATGCTATGAGATGGGGGGATGAGCTTCATAGCTGGAGTAGGGTTTACTGAGGCAAGATTTCAAGCAGTTCTCCTGGGTCCCCCGACCTTCCAAACCCCAGGTTGGAGCATCTGGGGCACAATGCCATGTAGGGACACTACGGGGATGACGCTCTCTGCAGCACCCCTTTCTTTCCAGGGGCCAGACCTAGGAGGGATAAGAACATTTGCAGGCTCTTACTTCCTCATAGAGCATCCGTAAGAAGTTGATCTCATCAGTCAGACAGTTGACCTTGGCCTCCAGCTCCACTTTGTTCATGTAAGAGGCATCCACGTCCTGGAAAAACAGCACAGGATGCTCCTCTGAGCCGCAGCCACAAGCGGCAAGCCAAGAGAAGCTGAGCAGACTCCTCTCTGGCCTTCTAGGTTGGATTTTAACAAACTCTGCATCTGGGGTTGGGGGATTGCTGAGACCTGGAGGCTTGAGTTCCCTGGGCTAACAAAACCCTAAGCAGGGGCAGTGCGGCCATAAATACAGAGGGAGCATTTTGGCAGGTTTGAGCTCTCCAAATATGTGACAGCTCTTGGGTGGCCCAAGGGTAGGGTCACCCCATATTCCCAGATTCAATTTTGAATCTTCTCCTTTGAGAGACATTTCCACCTACCTTCTTCAGGGCCACAAACTCATTCTCAGCAGCAGTGCGCTTGTTAATTTCGTCCTCGTACCTGCGAGCAGAGGAGGGGGCTGTGAGGTTTGGGGAGCTCTGCCCAGCCCAGGAGGGGGTGCGGGTGCGGCCAGGGCTGAGAGCTCCAAGCCTCACGCTCCGCTCGCTCTCTGCTCTCCCGCGCACCTGCGCATAACTATGGGTGATTCACTTAACCTCTGTTTCCCTCTACGAAAGGAGAATAATTTCTTCTGCCAGTTTTGTGTTTTTTTCTTCTTCTTCTTCCTTTCATAAGACTAGAAGGTGAGCACGGAACTTATGGAAATAGAAACATGTACTTAGGCAACTCCGCCTTCTTAGAGATGTACAATTCCAATCTTTAAAACACTTTGCTGCCTCAAATGCCTGCTGTGAACTTTGTTCTGGGAGATTTTGGTAGCTTTTCACTGAGCCCCAGGGCAGCTGATCGGTGTCCTTTTAGTGAGCAGGTGTAGCTCTACCTCAGAAAACAAGGGTAAGGCAGCTAAGGGGTCAGCGAAGGCCACCCCTTTCCACTGAATACCTCACCTACTGCAGTCTGGATGACCGCCGGTCACATTTAGCCTCCCAAGGAGGATCAGATTGCTTGGTTTATACTGTATGTGCATCCTGGAAATGCAAGCTGTCTCAATAATAGAGCTCATGCCCAGTGGAGTACATAATATACTCACCTTGAAATAATATTATGCTCTCCAGAGTAATAGTATTCTGTTAGGTGATACAGATATCCCTTTGTGGTTGTGTGCACAGGTACGAATAGGCTTCTTGTTAATAGTGATGCATGCCATGAGGGCCCCTCTGTTTACCTCCCACCATGCTGTCTTCATCTTATAGGATCACTAGTCCCAAACCTCCTGGCTGATACTGGCATTTGCTCCTTTGTACCTCTTTGGTGCTCATAGAAAGGAGCCCTGAGGTGACTGCGTGTGACCATAGCCTGTTTCCCACTTACCTGACTTTGAAATCTTCTACGATGTCCTGCATGTTCCTCAGCTCAGCGTCCAGCCTGCCCCTCTCAGTGGTGACACTGTCCAGCTGCCGGCGGAGGTCACTGAGGTAGGCATCAAAGAAGGGCTCCAGGTTCTGCCGCACCGCCTTGGTGCCCTGCTCCTGCAGGAGGCTCCACTTGGTCTCCAGGACCTTGTTCTGCTGCTCCAGGAAGCGCACCTGCAGTGGGAAAGAAGAAAATGAAATCCTGAGAAACAGGAGACTGAGAAATTAATTGGAGCCAGATACTCCAATTAATGAGGGAAAGAAGAAAAGTGTACTTCCCCCTCCCCCCCCCCGACACCCATATGTCAACTGTTTAACTGACAACTCCAAGTCAAAATGAGAAAGCCCTTGAAGCTGTCCAAAGTCCTCAGGGGCTTCCATTGAACTAGTACAGTGGGGCTTGGAGGCCTCTGTGGGAGCCCCTGCTCTTGGGTTGACAGTCTCGACAATGCCTGCTCTGGGTTAGGTTAGTTTAGTAGAAACTCCTCCTGCAGAGAACAACTTAGCTCTCCCTGGTGTTGACTGAACCGGCTCATATGGCTCCCAAGGAGGAAAAGGAGAAATCTGCACAAGGTTCCCTGGAGCAAGCTGGCCCCACTTGCAAATACCTCACCCCCTGGAAGTACCTGCTAATCAGATGTGCTTTCATAGGGAGGCTGTTCCACTGCTATTTCCCTTCTGGGCCTGGAGCTCTCCAAGAGGTCCCGCCAGCCCAACCCATTGGAGCAGATGCAGCTCCGGGCTCACCTTGTCGATGAAGGAGGCGAACTTGTTGTTGAGGGTCTTGATCTGCTCCCGCTCCTCCTTCCGTACTCGCTGGATGGTGGGGTCGATTTGCAGGTTGAGGGGAGTCAGGAGACTGTGGTTGACAGTGACTTCTTGGATGCCTCCAGGGGGGCAGACGGGGAAGCCAGAACCCCCATAGCCCCCTCCCACTCCACCCCCATAGCCAAAGCCACTGCTGACCCCAAACCCGCTGCTTGCCCTGCCACTAAAGCCACTTCGGAAGTTGTTGCCACTCCCACCGATGGAGACCCGCTTGGTCCCCCCTAGGTTGTAGAGGCTGCGGCTTCCAAAGCTGGCCCCTGGGCCACTGATTCTTCCCAGCCCTCCACTGGCCCCTGTGGTGCGGGCCACTGAGGCTGAACTGAAGCGAGGGCGCCCGGAGGCTGAGGCAGTGCTGAAGCCCCTGCGGCTGCCCGTCTGAAAGGTGATGGTGGACTGCCTGGACATGGTCGCTGAGAAAGGGGGCAAGAGGAGCTCCTGGCGCGGGTGTGTGTGAAGGGGGATAGAGAAGACGGGGTATCTGGGGAGACCCAGGCCCCTTGGCTTTTATGGGCCTCTGGGAGGGGCGGGGCAGTGCTGATGGAGGCCTCTGATAGCATCTCCTAGGCATTTGCCAACCCTGAGCTCACACTCGGCTCCTCTCTAGAAATGGTGTAGAAGCCACTGGTTGGTTCCCTGGCACGCCTCCCCCACGTGGAAAGTCTTTTCCAGTCGCAACTTGATCAGCAAATGAATGAGAAGCACACTAATTGCTTTCAGTCATGTCCTAATCATGCATGTGATAATGGATTCAAAAAACACTGCCTCATTTCTAAACCGCTTTCTTAGGCCTGGGACCAACTCCCTCCTGTCCAAACATCTTGTGTCATTACAAGTGACTGTGATCTCCTATTTCCTGTTCCTTCTTATCCCTTAGCTGTGCTTCCCATCCCGGAGCATTTTCTCAGCTATTATTGCCCAGTCCCCCTCCTCCCACCAAGCTGTCCCTTGAAAATCCTATTGTACACTCATCTTTCTCAAGAATCCACCCAGTTTTGGTTGCCCCTTTATTTTACTCTTAAGCTTCCATCTCTATTGTTCAGGTCACAGGATACTCGGAGCATGAATGTGCTCGTGCATGTATGTCCTCTACTCCAGTACAACGTGACTCTAAAGGCCAGGCCCTCCATCTGCAATGGAGAGAAGCCATGCGAGTAGGCAGACAGAGTTGAATCCCAGGCCTGCCCTGTACTTGTTGTGAGACCTCTGTCCAGTCACGAACTTCTTGGAGCCTCCATTTGGGTGTCTGTAAAGATGGGTTTGTGATGAGTGTTCATGTGTTAAAACAACTTTTCCGATGCCTTGGCCATGTTGAGTACTGGGTAAATGTTGAGTCTTCTCTCCTTCTGACACTATCACACAAGTACGGATGAAGGGCCAGCAGCGTGTCCATCCTGTGGCAGGCTTGAAAGAAGCACAATACAAGTTCCTTTTCTTTTCTAATGGACTCGTGGTCCTGTTGGGAACACAACTTTGAAGCCTATTAGGTAATTGATGAAAAGGTGGTAGACACCAAAGCACTACCTCCTGGCTCTGCTTGAGGCTGCCTCATTCCAGAAGTCTCCCAGCATGGCTACTCTTCCTACTGGGGGCCAGGGTTCCCACCCTTTACTCCTTCCTTAAAGGGCTCCAGTGGCTGCACCAAGTAGAGGAGTTCTTCTTTTTCACTGGTGGTCTTGTTCCCTCCCTCCCAGATCTGGCTAAAACTGGAGTCTACAAGGCTCCTGGTTCCCCCCTCCTTTTTTTTTAATATATCTTTATTGATTTCAGAGAGAGGAAGGGAGAGGGAGAGAGATAGAAACATCAATGATGAGAGAGTCATTGATCAGCTGCTTCTTGCACCTGGGCATGTGCCCTGACTGGGAATTGAACCCCGATCTCCTGGATCATTGGTTAATGCTCATTCACTGAGCCACTTCGGCTGGGCTCCTGGTTCCCCTTTTATCTGCCTCTCATCTCCAGTCTTTACCCTGGGGGAGTCAGACAGAGACATTGTTAGATTTCCTTTCGTCTTGTTGACTTCTTGCTCCTTGCAGGGGTTTTGAAGGGTGGCAGAGTGAGGGAGGAACTGAAGTGCATTCAGTCTCCCTTTTGTGGATGAGGAAATGGAGTCTGTGAACGGTAAAGCAAGCGGCGGACACTGCCCAGCTAGTGAGAAGCAGGGCAAGATTCCATGGTCTTGCCACACAGGTGGCCTTTCAGAGGTACATGGTACCCAGTGGGCTGACAGATGCTCCCTGCTTGGAATGGCAGCCTGGCACTTGGAGTGGAGGACCTCTGTTGTCTGACCTATTTCCTCCTAGGAGCCGAGGCCAGGGGGTGGGCCTCTCCTCTACCGAGAGATTGTTTGAGAGTCTCGTTTCCACAGGGAACCTATGAATCATAGCTTTTGTTGATACAGGCTAAGAGGAGCCCAGGAGTTCTCACCTGGTAGCCAGTGCTCCCAGGTCCTAGCTGGGGTGGTGCACGCGTCTGGGGTGGAAAGAATAATTGTGTTTGTTTGCTGTACTCCTTGCATGATAGTCTTTCTCCCAGAAGAAGGAACACTTGTTTCCTGAGCCGTGCTGACTAAACCCTCAGAGCTTCCTGTGAAACAAAGGGTCAAGGCCCGGGGAGCGCCTCAGCGGGCATGCCTGTGGGAATGGGACTGGCCACCGCGTTCTCCCATGCGGAAGCCGGCTCCATCTGCCTTTCCTCCTGGGTCATTCTCTTCTTTCCTGACCCCCCACCCTCGGGGGGTCCTGTTCCATCTCATTCTTTTCCATTCTCCTTTCTCTCAGCCATTGCCCCTTGGCCTACTTACTCCCTTCTCTGCCTCCTCTCTCTAACTTTTCCACTTGGATTGGTGTTTCCTAAGCTAGATTGTCTTACTCAGTGACTTCTGTGAGACAGGTGGAAAGAGGTAAGTCTTTTGCCTCCTTTCTTCTTCACTCCCTCTTCTGTGACCTTTGACCTCCATTGTCACCTTTACCCTGGTGGACTATGGCTACATGAAGGCCTAGACCTGACAGCCTAGGTCATTAACCCCTTTAAAGCCTCTAAACTTAGAGACTATGAACACCTTCTTTCCTTCCTTCCTGCCAAGGGAGATTTTCTGTTTTGAATATAACCTCTATTATTATTCTACCTAGAACTCACCCCCAAGAAGCCTTCTCAGATAAACTGTGCCCAGACACTAACCCCTTACACCTGTTCCCCGAGGACACTCGTGAGTGGCTTGCATATCAGTGTATTTTTCCACTTGCACTGGTTTTGTGGTGACCTGTGTGTGAGTTTATCTCTGAGGGTTAAGGGTGTTCCACAGATAGGATTGTGGCAGGAGCTCAGTTGACACAGGTTGTCTAAAGAAGACCTACACATTCCTTCCTGTCCTCCAAATCTCCCAAGCCTCCAACTTTGTACCGTTGGGTCTTTCTGGGAGTTTTCTTGAGGTTTTGGGGAGTGGTGGATTCAAGAGCAATGGTATATGCTCTGGTGCCCAAGGCTGGGAGTGACAAACTCTTTGATGTCCTTGTTCCCTGCCTGTCCTGCTCAGGGTGGTCTCTCTCACCCTCAGAGGAACCCTGAGGCCTTTGGCTGTGGTGGATCTCAAGGAGACTGGGCCAGGTGGCAACCAGGGCTGTGGAGGTTGGAGGGGAAAAGAGGCAGGCGGGGAGGTATGCCTCTCATGGCCAAGGGAGCAGGGTGCACCAAGGAGCTTTGGCTTCCAACCAGGTCAGGGCCAGAGGGGGGCAGGCTGGACGGGGATGGGGGGTTAGGTAAACCCCTAGAACAGGCTAACCTGCTGCACAGAATCAGGGTCCCTAGGCACAGGGTCTAAGGCCCAGGCCCCAGCCACCCACCCGCGATTTCTGAAAAGCTAGATCCCTCCCATACGGCATTCTTTTACCATCTTGGAGAGTCCTGCACTGTCTGTAAAGTTGTGTTTCTGTCTGAGGCATCTCAGTGATGCATCATTTACCTGGGTGTTTCCACAGGTAGAAACTTCTGGATGTGGAGCGTGTTTTCCACCATCTCCCAGAGGGCCGGGCCTGTGGAACAACCAACCTTGGCCTCATTCTGGGCAGCCTGATGCTCAGCTCACCTCCAGGCACCAAGTGAGCACACATACACCGATGGTGAGGACGGTGACAATGACAACAGTGCTAGGAAACAACGAGTCATTAAGCTGGGAGTGTTTGACACAGGGTCACTAGAGAATGGGCACCTCTTGGTTGTCTGATTTAAGAGGGGTAAACATTCAAAAGCCCAGACACAGAAGGATGAAAAGTTATAGCTTATGATTTGTTATTACAAAAGAATTTGTCTCTTTGAAGAGGGACTTAGCAGAGGACTCTTTCAATGAGCCAGCTCCGCTTGTGTGCACGCTAAGAGCAATTGACTTGCAGCTTTGCAGAAGGCTCCTAGGGTACAAAGGTAAATATATTTCTGGAATCTGATGGGATGAAACAGTTTCCACTAAACAGTGCAGCACCATGTCTGTGACGCAGGTTACACCTGAGCCACCAAGACACTGTTCTTACTCCCTTTCTGGAGAGGGGCTAAAATGCTATATGTCCCCATAGGCAGAGAGCCCCAGCACCCTCTGCACAATTCCCTCCCAGAGGATATTCTGGATATGCTCCCAGCAGGCCAATGAGAGACACCAATTCCTTTAAAGGATTGCTTCAAAGCGCTTCTCACTCGCCCTAAGCACTGGTTTATTTAGCAAGAGTTGGTCAACCTGGAGTGAGCCCAGCGACTAATGAAAATGAACGAATTGGGAAATAGGTGTGAGGGAAGAGGAAAGGCATTATGGTAGGAGACCAACCTGTTTCTTTGTTGTTGTAGCGACCAAGGAATACACTTGAATCTTGGCAAGAAAACTTCAATTCAGTATCAAAGGGCTTGTTTGGTCAAATTGTAAACAGGAACATCCTTTCTCCAGAGAAGCTGCGAGACTTCTATAGATTTTTTTCTGGAATGGTGTAGAGGGTGTGATTCTGTAATGAATGGAATTCTTTTTTTTTGTTTTTATTTCCTGGAGCATCTAATGTCTCGGTAAGATAAGCACCTGTACTTTCTATTTTGATAAAGTTGTTTAAGCATCATGATATTTAATGGATTTAGTTTTAAAATATGATTTTCCCACTTCTTTTAAAACTTCCCTTTGAAAAAACTGACATCCACTTAACCTCTCTGAAGTTGGACCTGCCGTTGATCACATGCTTTCATACATTGCACACATTGCCCTTGCCTTTTGGTTTATGGCGTGTGTGTGTGTGTGTGTGTGTGTGTGTGTGTGTGTGTGTGTGTTAATGGGTATAGTTCTGGCTCTGCCAGGTAAGAGGATTTTTCTAGGGTAGACACATGATTCAGTTGAATCCAACATGCACCTAATATGTACTTACCTTCCTTAAATTATTGGT